TTTTTTTTTTTTTTTGTCATTTCTTGAAGTGCAAAATGTATCTCCAATTATAGAATCACTCCCGTGCATTTATCAGTGAGGTTCTTCTGGGTGTTCCTGGCCAGTGCTGGGTGGAAAACATCCAGCCCCATATGTTTCATCATCACTGTATAGTGGCCAGAGTTCCATTCAGCAAATTATGCAGCAAAGTACACAACAAAAACAGGCTCCAGTACACAAAGTGGAGTCTTTATCCAAGATCGTTTCCTCCTGCTTGGAGTCCATGGGTGCTCTTCCTCCAACTTGCAGCCTGCTCCATTTGCAAGTGTTTCTTCATGCTTTCTGCCAGCAGGGCATTTCCCAGGTATTATATTAAAAACACAAGAAGTTTAACCGTGTGGAAAAATTCAAAGGGAAAACGGCAAAAACGAAAGAAAAGGATTACCACCAAGGCTGCCTTGGTTGGAGATAGCCATGTCTATGTCCACATCTCAAGGAAGACAGTCCAGCGGAGACTGTACACTACTGAATCCCTACTACTAATTGCAGACCTAAAAGGAAGTCAGTTGTCTGAGTAATTCCCATAATTTTCTGATACAAACATAATTTTCTGATACAAACAGAAAAATGTCCCACATTTTTCTGTCTGTATACATTATGTTGTGCTATTTTAAATGGTGATCACTTCAAATTTTTTGGAGTTATTTTTTAAAAAGCCCAGCGAATTAGCTGTTGCTTTTGCACCATGATGCAAACATGGGACTGCTGTTTTATTCAGTTTGTCTATGTCGATGTGTGTCTGTCCCTATCAAAAAAACTTTATAATAATAATAACATCTTGGCCTTTGCAAAATGTCATCTGGGCACAGAGAAAGACTTCTGATGGCGATAGTACTCTTATGGAACAGCAATGGCATATATTTGATGTCTAACAAGAGGCACACCATCCTTATACAGCCGTCTATAGTTGCGTAGAAACCATACAGTCGTTTTTATTCTTATGTTGTCATTGTTATGACAAAAACAAATTTAAAAAGGCAAAACATAATAATGTTTTGTCATAATATAAGACAGAAAATGCTGAGTCACGTAGTTACTCCGCGGTTCTCCTGGCTGTTCTGTAAGCGGGCTGTTTTGGTCAAAGTGCAGAGTCATTGTGACCTTTTTATTACTTTACAACGCATTCTGAGAAGAAAAGGTGACTTCGTTTGCCTTCAATTATCATTTTATGTAATTTAGACAATAAACAACTTGACATGCAACACCGTGTGTAATTAATTTATCATTTTTTAAAAGAACTGCCGCAATATTTTTTTAATAATATGACATTTTACTGACAAACTCCTGTGTGGATAAACCCGCTGAATCACGAAAAGAAAACAAAAGAAAATGGGGCTGTCTGGTCTTGTTTAAGCTTTCTAGAAAACTTCCTCGGACTGGCGTCTCCTCCCCGGAAGAAGCTCTTTAAATAAAGGACTGTAGCTTCTGTGCTCAGTTCCGTGTGTTTGGTTCTATACAACCATTTTAACAAGTTTTACCGCAACTATGTCGTCCGAAAAGAGCTTCGCCGCGGGTAAGATTCACCTTGTTTCTAATGGAGACTGAGAAATTAGACGGCTTTTTTTCTTCTTCTTCATGTGCGCGCGCCGCGTAGGTTTGCCAATAGGAACAAACAAAATTCCTTTAAAAGGATAGATCATTTTAGGACCTATATCAAATTTAAAAAGGCGAATTGAATGAATAAATCAATACTGTAATAATCGCCTCGAAATGGAGAATTGGATACAGGCTCTTTAGAACAAAACCAGATGTGCTGAATTGATTTTTGTCAGTCAAATAGTCAAATTACGTGCCTTGGCAAATTGTATGCCTTAGAAATTATTATAAGTTCAGTTTGTTTTGCTATTGAGTGCTACTGAGCTCTGCTGACGATTATCATCAGACCTAAAGTATTCTCTTTGTTATAATAGTGAACTGCAACTGTGGGTTTTACAGAACTTTTCAGAAAGATGTAGAACAGAAGGCGCTTGTGTTTTAAAGTAGAACATTTTGAGGATTACAGAGACAAAATACAATGTAAAAAACATAATAAAAAAATCAACATAGTTTCAATGTTGCATTTAAATTTAAAACAGGAAGTCCTGCACCTGGTCCGGTGCCGAAAGATCAGGTGCGTCTCTACAGCATGAGATTCTGCCCTTTTGCCCAAAGAACCAGATTGGTGTTGCACGCCAAAGGGATCAAGTAAATAAAATATTGTTTTCTCCAAATAAGAAACTTCATATCCAACCCTGAAATATGATTTGCCTTTACTGAAAGATGTTTTTTGGTGTGTGTGGTTTTTTTTTTCTTTTTTCTTTAGGTTTGAAACCATCAACATCCATTTGAAACAGAAACCTGACTGGTTCCTTGAGAAGAACCCTGACGGTCTTGTTCCTACAATAGAAACACCTGCTGGTGAAGTGGTGAATGAGTCTGTCATCACCTCCGAGTTCCTGGATGAAGTGTATCCTGAGAAGAAGCTGCTTCCAGCAACTCCTTTTGGGAAAGCCCAACAAAAAATGATGCTGGAGCACTTTTCCAAGGTTTGTGTCGAAGAAGAACATCATCATGTAAACCTTTGGTGCTAATTCCATGTGGATGCTGAATGTTTTTCTTTTTGTATGGGAAAAAAATGAGCGAAATCAATCTTGTCTTTTGTAGATAACGCCACACCTCTTCAAGATCTCATCAGCAAGAAGAAAGGGTGATGATGTGTCAGGATTAGAAGCTGAACTGAAGGAGAAGTTCACCAGTCTAAATGAAGTAAGTTGTAATATCTTTTGGGGAAATGTCCAATGGTTAATTCTGCTCAGATTAATTTGGGGCTGTTAATGATTTATGTGAAACTTTTATGGGCTTCTAAAACAGAAATTAGCTGTATTTGTGTGAATTGAATTCAGCTTAAAGTTAGCGTGTAAACTATTCTTGACACGATTGATTGAATGTTTCAGAGACAAAAAATATATATTTTTCTTTAGTATAATTGTCCTGTTCATTGTGTATACATTTTACCCCCTACTTGTTGATTTGAGATCATCTTGAAGGTAGCCCTTGTCAAGAAAACCCGAGATCATCCCACTTCTCCATGCTGGAGATTTTAGTTTAAAAGTAACAATACATGAAGTTACCTTTAAAGTTAATTACACAAGTAACATCTAGACCCAACAGTAGACTTAAACTTCAGTAATAAAATCAATCAGGTTGTGTGTGTTGTTTGTGTCTCCTGCAAACTTTGCTTTAATTCTACTTCCTTTTTCTATCTAATCATTAGAAATCATAGTCAGACAGGCAGAGTGTTATGAAAAAGGAACAGCAGGCTTTCTGAGAAAAGAGGAAGTAAGTTTCCAGCTTGCAGATTCATCAAAGTACTTGAGACTATTGCTTATTTCAAAGCATGAAAGTTTTAAAGAATGAAATCTGACCATTTTGAGTAATTGGATAAGACCCAAGGTAAAATACTTACATTAATATTGGTTTACTTGTAAGAATACTTACACTTGTGGGAATACTAAAAAGTAAAACAAGTAACTGTAACTTTGGTATCAAATAATTAGAATAATGGATTATTCTTGGTTTCTTTTCAGAAGACTGTCTGTAATAGCTCACATTATGATTATAATAAGAGTAACTAATAAGTTATGGTTATCATGCTATTATAAATTAATGCTGAATCAAAGAGAAACTAAAAAGGTTACAAATGTGATTTTTGACGTTGAACTTGAAATGCGGTAAAATGTGTAACTCCAATTAAAGACCACTGATGTGTTGGCGGTAGATGGTAGGTGAAAGGATGGGGGGAAAAGAGTAACTAACAGGAGAGCAGAGATGAAAAAAGGCCTTATTTGGAAACAAATTGTTGAACAACTTAAAATGTTGGGAGAGACGATCGAGCAGGCAACGGATGTAGGAGGTCCATTGAGCAACCGTGGGACATTATTATAGACATCAGAACATAATGTCTCTAAGACGGTGATGGATACGAGATCATTCATCAAAGCAGTCAGCCAATGAGACAAGCACAGCAGCAGTGTGTTTCAGGCATGTACTCAAATGCTCCACATGTATCTATTTAATTGTGGGTAATGAAGTGACCTCTGAGCATTGCATGTTTTACTCATTGTGGTAGATAAGAATTTTATTGATATAATAAATTACAGCTGCTGCTGCCCTGGGTACTTCTGAAGAGGACAGTAATACCCCTGACAGTAATGATAGTGGAAATTGAAGGGCGACTGTGCTTCTAATTTCAGTGTATCTTTTGAGCAAAGCTTTTCAGCGCCTTCCTAATCCGATGTAGGTATTCATTGCTAATAAATGTGGCTTGAGGTTACACTTGTGTCTTCTATTGGAATAATTTTATAAAATGGAAAACATTTTCTGCAGTCACTCTGCTCAGGAAGAAAAAAAAAAGAACCAACAGAGTTAGTCAGTGAAAATTAATGGGGATGATCATAAATATTAATTATCCTGAAACACTGGAATATATTAGAAACATAAGAAAATATGGGAAAATATTCCAGAATATTAAGAAATGATTGTTTGAATTTGCCAGATATCGTTCTCTTCCGGTGCTTGAAAACTGTTTGAAAGCAAGGGTTTTGCAGAAAGCCAATCAGTGATAATGTGTTTTTGCAAAAAAAAATAAAAAAATAAAAAAATGTCAGTGCAATCTGTCAATGCACAATCTGCACTTTCTGAGATTTTTAAGAGTGTTTTAATGGCAATATATTTGCAAGGTTACATGAGAAGCAGGTCAGTCAACATGTCAGACTATTTTAAGTTTTTAGTTGAATAATGTTAAAATAAGTCATTAATGTCCGATATGTTCTCACAAACACAATCCTTAACAACTTTTTGTATTTTAAATACTTATCGTAATTGCTTTGCTTTTTTTTTTCCAGACAGCAGTGCTTAATGTGATTTTTTTTTTTCAGTACTTGGTGAAAAGGAAGACAAAATTCTTTGGTGGTGATACCATTACCTTCATCGACTACATGATGTGGCCATTCTTTGAGAGGCTTGGGATGTTTGAAGTACAACAGTGAGTAATATTTACTTTTTTATTATTTTTATTTTTTTTTGTTTTTTTGTATTTTAGGTTCAAAAAGTTTTCAGATCATTTAATAGGAATAAACCAGACCAACAAGAAGTACAGCAAAAAGTTAATTGTGGTATCAGAGGAGATCCCAGTACCTCAGTAGTCAGTGGCACCCGTAAGGCCTGGGTTTTATTCAGAAATATCTATCTCAGGGAATGTATTAAGTCCAAATGATGGCATAGAGTTGGAAATTGATGTGCTGTAAAGTGTTTTCTCTGGCTCTTTCAGCTGCCTGGACCACACACCTGAATTGAAGAAGTGGACGGAGCTGATGCTGGAGGACCCGGCTGTTAAAGTCACCATGCACAGCACAGAGAATCACAAAACCTTCTTCAACAGCTTCCTGAATGGAAAACCTGACTATGACTATGGCCTGTAGAAAACAAATAATCAACGCTTCATAGCAACAAGTCTACATGTTTTCAATTTCTGTCATATGGCTGTTTTTTTTTTTATCTCTTTCTATTGCATTTTGTTTCTACTGGCCATTTAAAAGGTAATTTCATGAAAGTGGGTGTTGGTTCAAAACTTCTTTCTAAAATTAGACATGTGCTATCTATGTCAAAAATAAAAATAAAATATATTCCATCAAAGATATACTGCTGTGTTTTTTTTTTTTTTTCATCTTTTATCGTTTCACTCTTATCGGTTGCCATAAGATTTAGAGATTCAAACATGAAGGTGCCAGGTTTGGATAAGTAAATATGCAACTATAATGATTCTTCCCTACTTCCTAGAAGTTATGTGTTTAAAGTTATAAAAACAGATGAATGGTGACAAAATACTGTATTTTTAAAGAATGAAGCTCTAAAGAGCTGCAACATTACAAATCCAATGTCTGCATGCACATTATTCAAATATGCTTATTTGACAAACACTCTGTGCATACTATTTAAGTACAGCTTTTACTATTCAATTAATGTAGGTCATATTTATAAACCACCCATTAATTTGCACACAATAAATAGAAAATATATTCTGTGTGAAAGCTGAACATTGGCTCTGTCTCCTAGATGGTGAATGTGTGAGCACAAAGCTGGAGCTGATTTTGAATGTTGAACACCAAGGGAGTTGCTTCAGGGCAACAGTTCTCACACATTTAACAACTGAATAATTGTCCTACTGAAGGAATTTGGCTTCAGTTCAATGCAGACTGACTTTAGTCTTCATACTACCACAAAAGAAAACCCTTTGAGGTAGTCTTTTCCACCAATATTCAACAATTTAACAAGAGCCAAATATGTTAAGCTTTACTTGTGCTATGTAATGATACCACTCTCTGAGAGAGACGTCCAAGCTTTCACAGTAGCCATGTATTCTGACTCTGAATACATGAGAAAATACAAAGAAATCAGACCTGACAGACCTGTGTGGTGAAACAGGGCATGGTGTGTCAAGATAAGAATGGAATTTGGATTGGGGAAGACATTTTTTGCAGAATGCAAACATGTGCCCTGTAAGAACTGAAAAAGTAAAAGCACATTAGACCAAATATTGTCCTGAGATGCAATCTTTATGAGACATATATGATCACACAGTTAGGACAAATCTCCATTCTTAAAAGCAGGACAGTTTCCAATAAAAGTGCCTATACGATTGTGCTTTTGTGTTCATTGATTTTGACTGGGGTCCCAAAGCTCAATTTATTATCAATAAGTTCTCCCAGGCATTTATAAGTACTCTCAGGATGTCAAGACTTTCCATGTTAAGATTATTGTGATACAAAAATGTGTGTTTTTTGCATTCATTGTAAAATAAATAAATAAATAAATAATAAAAACGTTTACTCTGCAAAGTACCTGAAACGGAATAGTTTCAAAAACAAAACAAAACATTGTCCTTTTCTATTATTCGGAGAAACAATATTCAATAAGCACCCCTTTTTTTCCTTCTTTGGCTTATTGTGCAATGTCTCTTTTTGGTTGTTTTTATCTGCATCATTAAAATTGTGAATAAATAAATATATCTAAAGAATTTTAAATGATATATACGGAAAACAATTGCTTCACCTGTAACGCTAAGTCACCTTTCATTTGTATCCGCCTACTTAATGCGCTATTGGCTCCGAATTTTCTGACGCACCTACGCCGGAAGTAGTTAATAAAGTAAAGTAGTTCTGCGCTTTGCATCGTGTTGTCATCTCTGGTCAAACAGATTCCGTCCCAGTCCTCAGGAACGCCATGGCTACTGAAAAATGTTTCGCTAAAGGTAAGAAACGACCAGATAAGTCAACATGGGGACCGTTTCCTGCGTTCTGTCAGCTTGCTAAACTTTGTACCGCGGAGGGTAGTCCAGTTTGTTTTCTCCAAGAATTCGTTTAATTATTTTAACCAACCCTGAAGTGCTAACCTCATTGACATTCTCAGGCAGAAAAAATGATAGGAATAAATCTGCTAAGTCATTGTGGTCTCTGTTATATGACCTCTTCCCTCCTGCTTGTAAATGATCTATTACATCAGCATTTCTTCACCCGTTTGAGCTGCAGGTTTTTTGTTTCCTCATTGGCGAGCCATAATGTGTTTGAATCGAAGTTTTTAATATGACATGTTGGGAAATGGCATTTTTAAGCGGACAAGTGAATACATTCTGGCTATAACTAGAGTAAAGGTTTGTTTTAGCACTTTCTGAGATACCGACGCAATAGCGTGACGCAGCAGAAATCTGAAAGTAGGTGAATACTTTTTCAAAACACAAGTTATAGAGAATCATTTCAAAAGTTCTCTGACGATTATAAGTGTTTTTGTGTAGTTTGTCACTATAATACTTCTTATCATTTATGTCTTAAGTGTAATATGCGCTACAAAAAGCCAGATCGTTGATTCAGGTCTACTCTTATCCCATTAAGATATTTATTCTAGTATACCTCAACTTGACCTGATTTTCATCCTTGTCTTTTTTATTATTATTATTTATTATGAATTAGATTTTTCAGTTGAAATGTTGACGTGAAAGATTAGAAAATTATTGGGAATTTAAAAGAAAAATGTATATTTTTGAATATTACATAATCAGAATAGGATACACATTTGTTGTTTTGTTGCATTTTGTCATGTAAAAGTAACCTTTTTGTGGTTGACCTTAGGAAGCCCTGCACCCGGCCCTGTTCCCAAAGGTCAGCTGCGCCTCTACAGCATGAGATTCTGCCCTTTTGCTCAAAGGACCAGATTAGTGCTGAACGCCAAAGGGATCAAGTAAAAATACATTTTAAAAAATTATTTTCTTTAATCAACATTTTTTTTTTTTAATTCACTGATGAACTTATTTTCTCACTGCCTGATCAACCCGATTTTGTTTCGTATGTAAGATATGACACCATCAACATCGATTTGAAAGAGAAACCCGAGTGGTTTCTTGAAAAGAACCCTCTCGGTCTTGTGCCTGCACTGGAGACATCTGCTGGTGAAGTTATATACGAGTCTCCCATCACCTGTGAGTATCTGGATGAAGTGTATCCTGAGAAAAAGCTTCTTCCATCCTCTCCTTTTGGAAAAGCCCAACAAAGAATGCTGCTGGAGCATTTTTCCAAGGTAAAGATCATGCAAAATTTGCATTAAAATCTTTAGTTTTTGATTATGGCTGTTTTTTCAGTAACCAAAGAAATGCTGCTACTTTTTTTTTATTTAGGTAATACCTTACTTCTATAAGATCCCATCAGCAAGGAGGAAAGGAGAGGATGTCTCTAAACAGGAAGTTGAGCTGAAAGAGAAATTTGCTAAATTGAATGAGGTGGGTCGAATACGTATTGGGATATTTTTCTCCTTTTTTTACCTTCAAGGTTAAATTAATTACTTTCGTCGCCAAATGAGCCCACTATACTCGACACAACACTGATGGTGGTGATTGATTTTCAGCACTTGGAGAAGAAAAAGACAAAGTTCTTTGAAGGTGACACCATCACAATGATCGACTACATGATGTGGCCATTTTTTGAAAGGATCGAGGTCTCGGAGCTGCAGCAGTGAGTAACACTTATAAACCATGTAATAAATATGTAATTTTATTTATGGAAAGTATTCATTGAATAGGTACAAATATGTGCAAAAAAACAGAAGTTAAAAGTTATCATTTACGGTAAAAGAAGCATAAAAAAATATAACAAAAGCAAAGCATTTTGTTTTGAAGTAATTTACTTATTGGTCAGTGCAGTATCATTCAAGTACAGTATTAAAAAAAAACAACAAAAAAAAAACATTGTATGACTGGCTGTTGACTGCGGTCATCGGTTTTTAGAAAATAAAACCAAAAACTGTGCTTCTGAAATGTTCTTCTCTGCATCATTTTATTTCCTTCATCTTGTCAGCTGCCTGGACCACACTCCTGAGCTGAAGAAGTGGACTGAGCGCATGCTGGAGGATCCAACTGTTAAAAACACCATGTTCGATATGGACACCTACAAAGCCTTCTACAAGAGTGTCGCTGAGGGGAAACCCAACTATGACTTTGGCCTGTAACAAACAGCTGTTCATCCGTCCATTTATATTCACTACCACAAATCAGCTCCATTATAAAACTGTCCACTGAACAGTCTATGTACTTGATATGTTGCCCGTATTTCTTAGAGATAATTGTCACAAAGTAAATGAATTTGGGTCCCTTTAACTGAATGAGCTTCTGATCAGCCATGTCAAAATTTTGTACTTTTTTAAAAATAAAAATGATGCAGTTTCAGTCTCTGGTTAAAATTATTTTTTCTCTGTTTACTAAAAATAAGTTGTAGATATCAGACACAAACAATACCTTAAAAAAGCACTATGCTTTAAAAAGGAAAAGCATCAGCTGCCTTTGGATTGGGTGGAGTTAGGAGTAACAAAGGGTTCTTGTTAGCTTGTTAAACAGCTCCATCTCTGAAAATGGATTGGTTAACTTCATGACTAAAAAGAGATGCAATCACAAAACCACTTAGGAAAATTTGGTGTAACTACAATTTTTATGTTAATACATACACATATAAATAAAGAAGCTGAGTGGCCTGCACCCCTTTTGTTGAAAAGATCTTTCTGCAAAATACTGCATATATTATCCAACATGTAACCCATCACAACTATCCGTAACCATAAGACACTTAAGTGTTGCAGGTAAGCCTAAAATTAGTCATACCACCTGGCAAATTTGAATTTATAATTATTTCATTCCACCAATAAGTTTATTTTTTACAATAAATGAGACTGGTATTTCTCAAACAGGGAATATCAATTTTGATAACATTTTGTTTTATAAAAAAAATTACATCCTTCTTAATAAAAATGGCTTAATTGGAATTACAATAATCAAATCCTAACGGCTGACCAGCTTTTTGCATGCTTCCACTGGTATTTATCTTTAGAGATGAGCTCAGGTCTTTGAGGTTGGAAGGTCTCATTATTATCCTTTACATTCAGTCAGATTAAACATTGTCATGAAATGAAGAGATTCGATCTGAAATCTGCCAGTGGTATGAATAATTTTTTGACTTAAGTGTAGGTAAAAAGTGGAGAATCAGTCACCAACTATTTTATTGGTGATATTCTGTGCTAGCTCTCAGGCTCAGTCGCCCTGGATGGTGAGCCATATTAAGCTGCGTCTCTGCTTACAAGCCCTCTTCCAGGCGGTGGCGTTAACATCCATTGGATAAATAAGGTGTATACTCCTCTAAAAGAACAGGCGCATTTCTCAACATCTCTTGGAAGTGCCTAACGGTCGCTGCATAAAGCTTCCTTCTTAGCACCAATGACCTGAACAGATTGATGGGTTCTGCTTTGCGGAATCTCTCAGGAACCCGAATGTCCTGAGGCACTTTCCTGTTCCCGATTAGAGCATGGTACAGTCTCTTCTCCTGCAAGCTCTTCTGCAAGAAGGTGAACACATCCTGAAGCCTACGCTCCAAACTGGCTGCTCCCCATGCAGAGGTCCTGGTGCTAAGTAGCAAGTGCACCATGGCGGTCTTGAAGTGGTAGCTAGTGAGGGCAGATTCTCCTGTCAGACTCAACTGCTTTCTGTGAAGGAAGGTAGCGACCTGAAGGCAGTGCAAGTGGCAAGAATTTTGTGGTAGTCGCTTAGCTAAATACTTCAGCAAATTTCTCTCGCAGACAGCTAAGGAGAGAGGCCAGTATGGGTCTGGGAAACTGTTGTGATCTGACGGAAAGTACGAGACAAAATAAGCGTCCGTGTCTTCCAGCTGGACCACGGGGATGAGGTTCAGTACGATGACTTTTCCAGAACGGAACCGGATCTTCAGAGCACCAGCAGCATCCAGGCTCCGAAAAGTGACCTCAAAGTCGTATTTGTGGGAGATTCCGGCCCACGCTTTGGTGACAGCGATCTGAAACCACCGCATGATTTGATCTTTGGCTAAGAAATGTGTACCAGAGGAGCACAGGAGTTCATCTGGGCTGCGGTTCACTTTGACCACCTTGTTCTTATTATGCAACAGACAAAGCACATCCTCCCCAAGGTTGGCAGAACCACATAGGCAGGCCTCTTCATCCTCCCCAAACATGGTCACCTTTATGGTGCCAGAACACTGCATGTCTGGTGGAATGTCACTAGAGGAGCTGCACCACAGATGGTACAGGAAAGAGTGAGGATCAGGAGGTGTGAAAGGCACTAAAAGGTCACACATCAGAGGCTGGCACACCTTCCACGACTCAAACATGCTTCCTACGCCAATGAAATCACCAACCTCCATGTCCACCTCCCTGTCACACATGCTCCGGAGCGACTCTAGCAGGTCGTCGGCAAAACCCTCCACAAACTCCCTCACCTTCCAGTTTTCATGGGACGAAGTGTAGGTGCATTTATCGCAGAAGTTCCTCAGGGCATTCTTATCCATCATCCTGGGTGGGATGGATACGGTCTCGGATATTACATCTTCGTCCTCAACTGGACGAATTTCATCTTCTGCAATATCTGCTCTGCACATCTCGATGGCAAGGAATATGACGAAAGACACGGCGCTCCAAAAGTACCAACTGAAACCTTGATCCGATGGGGTCTCCTCCAGCTCGGAGTCCAGCTGCGCAAGCTCTTTCTCCAGCCTGGCATGCTCCATCTCCAGCATCTCTTCGTGCTCCCGCATTCGTGCCACCAGATCCTCATCTTGCTCAGGCAGCGTGGTGTTTTCATGGGGGAAGAGTAACGGGTGATTCAGTATGGCAGCGGCCACCACCATGCAGACACGTGCAATGGTTCCCTGCATCTTGAATTGGCAGTTTAACACACCCGATCAGGCACCAAGCAGACATCGAGACAGCTGTATTTCACATCCTGAAACAGAAACAGAAATATTTCTTTTAGTAAAAGTCCACATGAATATAAGACAATACAAATTTATGAGTTATTTATAGGAAGCCCTCCACCCACTGCAGGAAGCACAGACCGTACAACTAAAACAGACGCTGTGTGCTGAGTGACGCACTCATCCACTATCGCACTTGGCTAGAGAGAGGTAGAAAGATTAAACCTTTCAGAAAATGTCAGCCCCTCAAAACTGCATGTACTCTCTTCTTGTAAACATCCACATTGAGTTTATCTTTTCAATTTCTGCTGTATAGAAAGGAGGATATTACATAAGCCCAAAAGCTTAATATAAGCCACCCCTAGGATATCATGTTACACAAATGCATAATGTTCAAAATACCCTTGTTACGCAAAAAAATTAACATTTACTTGCCGACAAAGTCCTTGCAGGTATATTCTAGAAGGAATCGTCCAATCTTACATCCTCATAACGTCATAAAGTGATAACATTTTAACTTGACACTTCCTTTGGTGCACTAGAAAAGGGAAGTGAACGTACTATGAGTTCACTTGAACACCACGAGTTGTTTCTTGTCGGCCCGAGGGATTAAAATGGCAGCAGTAATGGCGTATGTGAAGCCATAGAAACCCATGAGGTTCTTGTACGACTTACTCACCAGAAATATTTCCAACACTTGCATCAAAACACGCAGTGAATTCGACAAGAGGCCCCAAATGAAACGCATATTAGATAAGCTTTGTTTAGCCACTGTTACAAAAACGTACCACAAAAAATAAGTTTAGCTGCTTATCTTTGATAAGGCATAAACTGTAAATGACTTATCACAACGGAACAAGGCGGGCTGCTTTGACCAACATGTAAAGAAGCAGAATTTAAAAAAAAAAAAAAGCGGATTCTTCGGGTGGGGTGGAGGAGATTCATATATTTAGAAACCTTCTCATGTATTCTTGGTTATTTCTTCCAGAGAGAGGAGAGTAGAACAGCTAGAATTACAAAAACTTGGACATGAGTCTCTCATTAACTCTAAACAGACTTTCTTGTTCCTGTTGAAGAAAAGTACCCCAATAGTATGAGGCTGCCACTGCCATGTTTCACCATGAGGATGGTGTGATCAGGGTGACAGATGCAGTTTACTTCTATCACATTTAGCTGTTTGCATAAAAGCCAAACATTTGACCAGTCACTACATGTGTCTCCTAAAGGGCCTGTTAACTACAAAAGGAATTTTGTAGTCCTTTTTTTCACCATCTCATAAAGGCCAGATTCATGGAGGACTAAACTAATTGTTTTCCCAACAAGGCCTGCTGGCTGTTTGTTAAATGATGCTCTCTTTGCCAAACTAATGAATTTAGGTTGATAACCATATCATACACGTTTGCAGTTGTGCGCCATATGCTTTCTTCACTGAAGCATGCTCTGTCAAGATTCTATACCCAGACTATATGCTGAACCTCAGGACTTCACAGGTGAGCTGTATTTACATTGATAATAAAGGTGGATTCTATTCACTAATTATGTGACTGAGGGGTATCAGAGTAAAGTGGACAGAGTACAAATGCATACCACAACATCACATGTTTTGTGAGGGGGTGCCAATTCCTTCTGAGGGCTTTAAACCAGAACATTGTTTCTCACCAATACAGGAAACAATGTGTTAAAACAAGTGGCTCAATATACATATATAGGTTATTATTTATCCTCACTTGACCAAGGTTAAATGTTTGGAAAGTGAGACAGACTCTGCATGATGTGACCAATAAAAAAAAAAAACAAAACAGGAATTCTACTGCATATTTAACTGTATTTCTATAGATGTAGCTTTACTAAAGTTAATATATTGTCTTGAGTTATTAGATAATGTAATCAAGTAGCTATTATTACGCTTTAGAGTACGTTTGTGAAATATCACAAGAAATGAGTTTTTCCACAAAGACGTAACGAAACCGTGCAAGTACAGTGACGTAATTTTGGCAGTTGGCGGCTCCGCCTTTGTTGCCTTAGCAACTAAATAGAGGGCTAAATGTGGCGGGTAGACAAACATTTTTCCAGACCAAATGAGTCACCGAGAGCCTGAACGGCGAACAAATGAACCTTTGTGCCTCCAGAAACTGTAAGTGGAGTTTTACAACAACAGAGGGCAACTCAAATACTCCCGGGAAAAGGTCTTGCATAATTTGGACAGCATGTTTCAGCATCCCCACGCTGACTTTCCTCTAAAGTGAAGGTTGTAGAGACACCAACATGTTTATCAAAAACGGAGTCGTCAAACCTACCTGCGCGCCCTTCTTGTGGAAGTTCATGTTGATGAAGTCCATCCGGTAAAAGCAGCAGCCTCCATGCGAACAACTCGGGGACAGTTTCTCTCACTCAGCCTCCTCTTCTCAACATTTCCTGGCTGTGCGCTCCACCCATGCTACAAAAAAACAGACCGCCCAGATTTCACTGCTGCGCCCCAAACTAGGGGTTTGTGAGCAATGACAAGACTACTTTCAATCCGCAAATTATTCAGTCGGCCTAACGGCGCACAACTGCAACTGTACTTTAAAATTAGCCCCAGTAGCTACACTTTTCTGCATGTTTTCGTACTCATGGATTTTTTTGCAGCACCACGTATAACCCCAATATCCAAAAATATTGTTCTCTGACTTTAACTTTTTTCCTGATAAAATATGTGAACTTAGTGGTTGCAAATTTTAAAATCATACAACCTTTAGTTAACCATGTGATCTACAGAAATGTAAACCAACACATACATACAAGGATTAGTTTAGTGGTTGTTTTACTGAAAAATGAAACGTCTCTGTGAACCACAAGGTGGAGCTTCAGCACTGGATACAATTAAGTAAAAGGTCAGGAGGCAATTGTTAAGGAGCATATCTCTATCCAGGTGGTCAGGAGCGCCACAGGGGTCAGTACTCCCACCATTGCTTTTCACTCTGTACATCTCAGACTTTCAGATCATATCAGAGTGCTGTCATGTGGAGAAACATTTGGATGACTATGCAGTTGCTGGACTGGAAACTGGGTGCAAAATCTGTCAAATTTTATTTTATAGCACATTTCAGCAAAAAAGCATTTCAGAGTGCTAGCAGGAAGCAAGGGTTGTTTTTGTGTGGCATAGTGTAGCAACAATCGTCTAGTATTTAATGTATTATAAAAACATAGGAGATGATTTTAGGGGGAAACTGCAAAATATCAAACATCATTTCCATTATGAGAGAAGAAGTGAATGGTGGATAAATACCCCAGACTGGTCATACCTGTGAAATTAGTCAAAACATAGTGTATTTTATATCCACAGAAAACTGGGGCATAATAAAACATTTTGATCATTCACACAAATAGGTTGTTTTGATATTTCTGACACTGAAATTAATAGTATAGATGTTAAAATAGCATGAAAACCAAAATTATATTGAAAATTTGATACAGCAGGAAGCTCTTGCTGTCTCCTCCCAATAAAGGTTTAAATGAAGCACAATCTATCACAGTCCATAAAGAGCAAGAAGCTATATGACCTAATCCAGATAAACTTCAAGGCTGTTTTAAAAACACACCGTTTCTGATTTTGCTTATTTATTCAGTATCTGAATCATTTTCAGGCACAGAACTGATACAATCACTTGGGATATTTACTAATTTTCCAAATCTTCAGACAAAATAGTGAAAAAAAAGATGCATTATTCTTGGTACTAAAACAAAAGTAAGACATGTACAGCAACATCCATATGCAAAAATCAGACATTTAGGCTGAGATAACAAGGCTTCTAGTCTGAAACAAGTGTCTTCGAACTCTGTCAAGTGTCGTCTATTGATTGTATGCCACTCCATGCTTTCCAAAGATAAATTTTTAATTTAGTAGCGTCACATTCAACTTTTATAGTAGTAGCCTTCCCAGGGCTGTATGTAATATTCTGCCACAAAACACAACTAAACATTTATCCTTTGGTTTTTTCCCCTTTTTATTAAGCAAAATATAACCATTGATGCTCAATGTCCACTTGAATTTGTTTTTTTCAAGTGAATTTAAGATTTTCAACATCTTTAAGAGAAAAAAAACACACAAAAAAAACAATTATGTCCAGAAATTAAAGAGTAATAACATTACAAAGGACGATCACATCTGTATTGAGTGGGTGAAAGAGTACAGAAAGACAAAATAAAACTCATCCAACAATGCTAGAACATCATATGTTGAATCTTTTAAAAACAAGTTGGTAACACTTCATTTGACAGTGTCAAAAACATGACATAACACCCGTCATGAACATAAAAAAGTCTTTGACTGTTGTGATGAAGTGTCATTCGGTGAATAATGACACTTTTAATGCAAAGTTGCTCTAAAAGTTGCATTGAAAGTCCATTAAAAATGCCAACTTTGCATTAAATTATAATTTACAAAATCTTGCAAAGTTGGCACTTTTAATGCAACTTGGCGTTAAAAGTGTCATTATTTACCGAACACTTCATGACAAGTCAGACATTCGTAAAGCCTCCTTCATGTTCCTAACAGGTGTTATGTCATGTTTATGACAGTGTCATGTCAGTCTTATGCAAATAAAGTGTTACCAACAAGTTAAATAATACATGCTATAAATGCTAAGTATTTTTTGACCTCTTACGTATTTGAACTTTTTATTTATTCAGTGCATATAGAGTAAGCCTCTTTGAAAATTACAAATTTAACGGAAAGTCAGCAGAAGCAACTTAAAAAAAAGCAAAAATACAATAAAGCACAATTTTCCCGCCAGGTGAATCAGCATCTAGATTGTGATAGTCCATTCGCTAAATTTAAAGTTTTTAAAAGTTCATATAAAGATTTTTTTCTTTTTTTTTTTTTTAGACACATTCTAAGCTTGCAAGATTGTAAACATTTTTGATTGTGCAAAAATAATTCATGCTATCATTTTATTAACATCATAAAATATTAAAAATATTTAGGCAGAACTACATTGTGTAGGAGAGTCCATCGGATACAGAATGTCTTTGATTTTGTCCGCCTTGCTGTTTTTCCTCATTTTCCGCAGGATCGCGATCAGCTCTACTGAGGCAGGCATGCCCTTTGCCTCCATCCATTTTCTCAGTAGTTCTAGGGTCCACATTTCACCATCATTGTGGTGGCTGAGTTTTGCATTCTCAATGGAATTTGCCATCTGACAACTGAGTGCAATTTGACACATATCTTTCCAGCCGATTATTTCTGCAATGTCCACTATGTGCGGCTCCATATCCACTGGGATGAAAAGACAGGGAAGATGTGACTCGGGGCAACCAAGGAAAACGCGACGGATTTATTGATCATGCAGAGACATATTCTGTCTTACCTGGAAGAAGTGGGTCACTCTGTGAAGCACAGAGAGATTATTAGTTTTTAATTAGCTTACATCTACAGAATCATTTGCTATTCCACAGAACTGTTACACAAACACGGTAGTAGTTAGGACAACGAACCTGTCCCTCCTACATAAAGGATCAGCTTGTTTAAGGTTAAAGAAGAGAAAGACGTTTAAAACTTTGTCTTCTAGGTGAATCTAGAAAACATGACACAGAAGCCTAGTATCTTAAAATATAAAAGTTGCTAAGTTAATGAACTTACCACGGGGCCAGAGGGCTTTGGTGTGTCTTTTTTTAAAAATCCTTTAGAAATAGTAAAAAAAAAGAAAGAAAAACAATTTGTTATTGTAAAAATATTTACAATTTGTTATTGTAAATAACAATAAATGGATTGAATTATTGTTATGCATGATAAACAATGCTGTTTACTGAAATCCAAATGAATATCTGGCATACATGTATTGAGTGTTAGGTATGCTTACCCAGAATTTTCTTCCTGAACATGGCGACAACGGCGACAACAACGGCGACAACAAAAAAAACTGCAATCACAATGCCAGCGTTTGCACCACCTGTTAAACCTTAAAAGGAAAACACAACACTTTTATCATAAGCTCTTCCACACCACTCCTGTTCATAAATGAGGTAAAAGTAAATTTTATAAACCAATTTGAATGTGTCATTGTAAAATAAATTCAACAATAGCTCACCAGGACTTTCACCAGAACTTTCCTCGTTGCAAACTGCATCACTGGTGGGTGTGCAGGCATCTTTGATGCCGGTGGAATCACATCTTAAAGTAAGTAGTAGACCAGGTCAGTTTTTTTTTTTTTCTTTTTCCTCAAAATAAGTTTAAGGACAAGTGGAAGAAGTTTTGTTTAACAGGAACCCAAATGTAAAGCTTTCAAACTTATGCTCTTACAATGTTCTTCAACTAATAAAACCACGTAAATTGCTTGCCTTTTCCAAATATATTCAGAGTTATCAGAATAACTGAACTCCAGAGCCTGGACTTCATTTATGTGTGCACTAGACATGGGCTGGTTACTGAGGAGAAAGGGATACTAATGTTTTAATAAATAATAATTATAATAAAAAAAATCCTAAACCCCTCATGTGGATTGAAGTCATTTTGATTATATAAAATAAAATGCTGAAGGAAGTGACATTTCCTCTGGTTTTATAAAACAGAATGTGGTCAACCACATGTTCCTGTGCACTCCGGGTCACTGGTCGTCAGAAGGTGCTGCACTTTTTCTACGTTAAAGGGAATGTTCTTACTTAGTTTCCTAAGTCTACAAATCAAAAATAATAATAAAAAAGAAGTTTATATTATTAATAAACAATATGAAACATTATTCTAGCAACTGTAGGAATACTTGCAAGTTTGCTGTTCCTTTACTTAGATAAAAGCAATTACACTTTGTTATACATTACTGTTTTTGAGTCACTAACATCTGAAGCCGTAAATTTCTATATGGGGCTATCGCACACAGAGTCTCATAGTGCCTATGCTTATGTGCAATTCTTTGTGTGTTGATGATGCGTATGTTTTTCCTGATTTTGAAATGTGCATTTTTAATTGTCTTACAGGTTATTTTACACCCCGCAGTGATTAATACCGATCCACTGCAAGGTGCTGCTGGTTTTGGTTGTAGATTTCAGTTGAAATGCAATAAGCTGGTAACTGTGCAGGATAATGAAATATTTTAAAGGTATTAGATATGTTAAGTTTCATTTTGTCGTTTCTTTAATAATATACTTGCAGCTTCATCATAAATGACTTCATAAGGAATTATTGTGTTGCATAATATAAAATATATTCCATACAAATGTTCAACTAAATGTTTACATGCATTTAACAATATATTTATAATTATTTGCCATCACAATTTCAAGTTGAATGGTTATTTATTGGAGCCGTGTAATTTAGAACGTTCAATGAACAGACTAAATTACAAAAATTAAATCCAATGAGTCAGGGTTCATTTTCTGAACTATATTTATCAGAATAGTCTTAAGATTGCCCAACACATCCCTACAAGTGACGTGTGATCTAACAAGAAACTTAATAAAAACAATGTTCTATAAATGGTGGAGCATAAAGATCTGACAGAAGCAAGCCTACCTTGTACAGGGATGGCAGATTTTACAGGTTCCTTCTTTAGTGGGGCAGTAATAACCTTCCTTACATGTACACTTTGTGTCATTGATGGCGGTGCAGCGTTCTTTTACTTCTAAATTAGCTGAAAGAACAAAACAAAGTTGTAACTGAGAACTTTTCACACATAAACCCCCCATGCTGAAAATACACTCAATGCTCTGGTTCACTGCATTTTTTTTTTTTTTTTGCTTTATTGAAAAGCAGCTCATTCTTCTTTCTTATATCACTAAAACATTAACTGTATAAACAAATAATTCTGCAAGTACAATTTGCGAAAATATGAAAATCAAGGTACTCAAGACATTAACTGCTTGTTGATCTTACAAAGCTATCCTGGTTCCATTTCAAAAAACATATTAGAAAACATAAATAGATCTGAGACTTTTTATAGGATACATATCGAATTAAAACCAAAAATAGAAAATTATCCTCTTGATATAAAAGAATATTAATTTGTTCAGTCTCAGCCAGATGCATTAATGCAGGTGGATAGAGGTGATAAGAGTGTGACTCACTGGTGTGCTTGCAAAAAAAATATGACTTTTCCTGACAGTAAAACAAACCACAGTAAAAAAAAAAACGAAAAAAAACAACTTATTTGAATTTGACATTGTGGTGTGTGTGCCACCATGGTACACCCTCTGCTATCCTGCGAGGATAAGTGGGTGCAGAAAAAGGGGATGACAGTGCAGACTTCATCGGTTAGTCTCCACTGCTCAGTTAGTCTGAGAAAATTGTCAAGTAAAGCCCTCCTGCTAGGATTTTACCGTTTTCTGGACCACAGGATGTGCAGATTTCACAGGAGTCCTTAGAATTGGGTTCACTGTTATAAGTCCCATCGTCACAAAATGCACATTCTCGATCGTCTGCAGTTTTAGTGCAGTGCTCTACCACTTTCTGACCTGCAATTTAAACAAACATGAATCAGAGTAAAGAAAAACAAACGGTGATAAAGGATAAGCGGTTGCACTGAATTTGATTTAAGAGTAAAGAGGGAAGGGGAGTGAATACAAATACCCGTCGCATTTTCAGGTTTTGATGTGTAAAACATTTACAAAACGCTTTGTAATTTTTCTTCACATAATTTTTTGTTGTTGTTTTTCACTTTTATGTCCATAGTGGCAGGTGTTGTACAGTTGTATACATTTCATGCATGGCATGGATTTGGACGGTCAGATGGGCTGTAAACCACCATCTTTCACTGCCAAGAGTTAAGTCAGTGTTTCTCAACCCTGGTCCTCACCGCCCCCCCTGCTCTGCATGTTTTAGATGTGCCTCTATTCCAGAACAGCTGATTCAAATGATTGCATGATCATCAAGTACTGCAGAAGCCTGTTAATCACCCAGAGATACAATTCAGGTGTGTGGCAGAAGGGAAATACCTAAAACATCCAGGAGAGGGGGTCGGTGAGGACCAGGATTGAGAAACACTGAGTTAAGTGCTGATCTGAACCAGGTGGATGGTTAATATCAATTCAAAATTTGAAGCGTGGCAAACACGGACTGAACGGCTTTGTTCACTTCCTCTGGTGCCATTGCTAAAACTACAGGCAGGCTCTAAAAGAGGTCATTGTTCACAACTTCTCCGTCTGTTCGCTGATTGGCCCAGTAAAAAAAAAAAATCTACCGGAGACAATCCTAGTCAAGGGGAGAAAACTCAGACTGTACAGGAAGCAAGATTTTTTTTTTTTTTTTTTTAAGGGAATTGCACAGGAAATCAACAGCCAGCCTATGGGGCTCCTAATCTCACTTCAGCATGAACATACAGCTATTTAGCAGAGTAAATATTTATTTGTTTTTGGCAGATGTTCCCCCAATGCTTTAACACCTTGGGCAGAAAGCCATAGTTTGCAGGTATATATAAAAAAAAACGTATTTTCTTAGACTGAATATTTTCAGACATTAAATTTTTCATAAAACTTACCAGCTGCACATTTACAGCAGTTTATGCCATTGTGCTCGTAAGTGCCATCTCGACATCCCTGCCTTTTCACACGAAGCTTTTCTCGAAAAGAGTGTCGGACATTTAGTTCGGTAGATACTGGAGAAACATCACTGAAAAAGAAAGTAAAACATTCATTTCCTTTCTGTTCATTCCTTAAAACAATTCAAACAAATCTTGTATTATTGTAATGTAGTTTAATTGAATACGCCCCTATTTACCAACAGGTTACAAGAAAAATCTCATTTAAAACTCGTGTGTTGCGGCGAACTTGGCTGCCCTTGTTTTTGTTTTTTTTCTTCTTCTTCTTTTCCCTATGGATCGACGAACCACACCTTTTCTTAAACACAGCTACATGAAAACGGCTCGTTTCTTTAAAATGTTCTTTTCTCGGTTCCTTCTTTTATGACAAAAGCCAATTCTTTTCCAAATTTTAATCCCGATTACAATTTACTCAACTCTATACGGGCTTTAAATCAAGTTGTGGTCATAACAGCCTCGAGTGTCACCGAACACACACCGAATGTAATTAAAAACATTTAATGAATCCACAAAACTACTGTATGTGTGTAAAAATGTCGCTTTACTTACTTTAGAAAAAGGACGACACAAAATAAAAGGAGAAGCACGGAGAACTTGCGTGAGGACACCATTGTTGACTCGGACTGAACGTAAGCTTCCGTGTTACGTCATATATTTTTTTCTAACTTTCATTTTCTATTGGCAGCTCATGCTTTTTTTTCTTTTTTCTTTTTTAACAAAGTTTAATTTTTTAAAACGTTATTTTTGTCCTTTTCTCTTATGACAGCATATACAATTTGGACGCTTTATTGATTTTCATTTTGTAAATATCAGGTTCTCCGGTTAAAAAGTGGCTCGTTTTGCGATTCTGATAGTTGTTCATATGATAATTAACAGTAAGTCGAGGTGTTTTGGGAAGTCCCAAACAAACACGCTCAGACTCAGGGTTTTCCCAAGAACTCAAACTGAATGCCCGCATCCTCAAACTAGAAAACCTGTTCGAGATTAAATGTGGGCCTATGCGTTTTTTTTTTTTTAAAGAAAACTTATCAGATAAAGTTGTAATGTAATCTCTAGGGTAAGCTTATACACCTTAAGAGACAGAAAATGATACTCAGAAATTCATGCTTTCCAGGACAGGCAAAAGGGGAAAAAAATTATACACAGGTTTGAACTGAGAAGTTAGTTTGTGAAAACAATTTTATTATATATTCAGTACATCCATTGTCTAATGATGCGCTAACCTTTTACCTTAAAACACATAAAAGTGTTTAAAATATGCCTTTATCTAATACCTTGTGAAATCAAATGATAAATAATCGCTTTGTTGTATAACAAAAAGTGCAGTTCAGAAGTCTTCAAACGCTACACTTCACTTCCACCACTAGGTGGTGCTGTTGCGCTTTGGTGATATGGCTGCAGGAAAGGCGGTAGAATTTAAAAGATTACATGGATTAAAACCAGATTATTTCTCTTGTGAAGCTTTGCAGCTTTCAACATGTTGAAATGCTAACGGATTGGCAAAGAGCCAAAAGAGGTTGCATTGCTATGAAAACACGACAGTTCAGAATAATCATGGTTCATTTATTTTTTTTATATAATTAATATTGTATAAATGAATATTGAATCAGCATGTTTTAGTGATTTGTGATATTATTGAAATGACATAGTGGACCTCATTAGATGGAGAATTTATTTACTAAGCTGAATAGTTGAAGGAAAGTTTCCATGTGGGAAATATTCCTAAATTAGAGGAGAACTCACATGATTTGCATGTTTTTGCATCACTTCCACTGCCTTCACTGACCATCTGTCTTGGAGAGAACAAAGGAACCCTCTCAAGTGTTATAAGACAATTATGATGAAGTTCTCTTTTTTTTCCAATGGAAAAGCAACAGAGGTTGAAAATATTTAAACAAAAAAAATGTTTCAAGATCCATTCTCAATAGAGTTTTCCTGTGCAATTACACACACACACACAAAAAAAAATCATTTCCAGCACACTCTGGGCTTTCTCCTCTTGACTCGGATTGTCTGACTCTGGTAGATATTTGATCGGACCAATCAGCAAACAGAAGGAAAAGTTGTGAACAATGACGTTGATTTTCTGCGTTGGTTTGGAATTGCAATCTGCCCGAAGCTTTAGCAATGGCAGCAGAGGGAGTGAACGAAGCCGTTCAGTCCGTCTGGGCCACGCTTCAAAGATCTGAACTGATATTAACAGCCGCCTCGTTCGGATGGGCACTTCTCTCTTCACAGTGAAGGATGGTTGTTCACAGTGCAGGCAACTTCTGGTAAGCTCCTCATGGCGCATTACGTACATTAGCGATTGGGTAAAATTTAAAACCTCAACACAGTGCACACCTCCAGGAAACAATCGTTTCTCAACAGCAGAGAGTTCAGGCCCTCAGTATGAAGCAAATTGCAGTACAAAAGACGACAAGTCTCACTGGTGTCACAGCAGTTTTTACAAGCTCTGCTTCATGTTTGCTTGCAGAGTGTGTGTTGTTTACAATGAGAAAGGTGGCATATTAACTCATTAGCAAATCATCTACAGCCAAATGGCAAACAATTAGCATATAAAATCATAAAAAGTATAATTTATAGAAGAACAGCAGCTCAGTAAGGTCACATGAATGTTCTTTCACCTTAACCGATAGTGTAAGACAAATGGTTTCACAATTTGTCTCCGATTGGTTACTCACATGACCGCATTTTTCTACAAAATAGTTTGGGTAGAGTATAAAAAACAATTACTCAGTTGGTAGTTGTAAAAGCAATTACAACTGATATATTGATGTATGGTTGATTGTGAGGCATAAATGGCAGGTGGCTGCATTTCGAACCTGAACAAGAAGTCAGGTGCAAAGTAGCAAAAGGCCAAAACAACCAGTAATGTAAACATTTCCATCTCTGACTGGCTGTAAGCAGGAAACTTCATCTCCATTTCATTAAAGCCTGCTAAGAGAGTTGCATTATCCTTAGCCACAGATGCCCTGGAGCCACTCTGACAGAAGCGAGGGTACCATGCACTGGCGCCACCAGCAGGCAAGGCGGGTGAAGTGGTTTGCCCAGGGACACAACGGCAGAGGCAGACAGAGGGGAAATCGGATCAGTTCACTGACTGAGGGACGAACTCCTACCGCCGTCATAAACTATCGTCGGCGATACAATACAAGCCAGAGGAATTAATGAAAAGCTTAAAAGTTAACGAATCTAGTAGAATGATCTATTTTCACTAATATGACCTAAACCAGCATATTAAATCCTTAAATGTCAACAGGAATAAGACAAAAATGTTCTCCATAGAAAAACATGTGAAACATCCTAGTTAGTTAATGTAATTGTTCTTTGTGATTAATAAAGCATGACTGATTGATTGATTATTTATATAGTGTTACAAGTAGGGCGGCAACTAACAAATATTTTACTGATTGATTATTCTAGTAATTATTTTGACAATTAATTGATTAATTTGCTAAAAAAACTGGTACTTTCTACAGATTTTTCATTTAACCATTGAAGAATTTTTGTACAATATTAAATATACTTTAAAAGATGCAAATAACATCACTTCCNTTTCAAAATAAGAAAATAACAATTTTGTTGACTAAACGGATCCATCTTCACCTAGAAAAGTACTTCTAATATCAATATGTGAAAATCTCAGCGATTTTCACATAGCATAGCACATAGTTACTTGATTGTTTGGTAACACTTTATTTGAAGGGGGTTGAATAAGACTGTCATGACACTTTCATTAACATGACATAACACCTGTCATGAACATGAATAAGCCTTCATGAATATTTATGACTGTTGTCATCTTTTAATACAAAGTTGACATTATTCAAAATGTCTTTGTTATGACAACGTGACATTAACCAGGAAATCATTACTGTTTAAACTTTACCTTTAATAACATAAAGTTACCTAATTTTTAAAGTGCAATCAGTAATACTTTTATAACAAATTTATATCAGTAATGATTTCTTGGTTTATGAGTGTCATGACAGTCTTATTCACCCCCCCTTCAAATAAAGTGTTTTACCGATTGTTTTATAAAATGGCACTATGTGCCTGGAAAATACATAATGCTACTCCTTTAAAAGCTTGTTGTTATTGTATTATCACACTTCCGGACTGCTCAGGTCTTCTGGTTCTGGTCTGCTCTGCATCCCCCACAACCAGAACCAAACATGGAGATGCAGCATTCAGCTTCTACCAACACAAATGTGGAACAAGCTTCCAGAAAACTGTAAAACAGCTGAAACACCGAGTCCCACTGAGTCGAATGCAACTCTGTTTAGAGTTGATTAGTTGATTAGTAGTAACTGAAACATTGATCAACATATTTGATGTGTGTACACTTGATTTTGATAATGGCATTTGACAAAATATTATGTTTATTGCTTGTTTCATAGTTTTTGAACTTTGTACTGCCTTGTTGCTGAAATGTTCTATACAAATAAATGTGACTTGATTGGAAGAAAGGATAGAATTGTGTCCTATCTTTAAAAAAAAACAAAAACAAAGATGGAGACAGTATCATGTTTTGAGCTTGTTTGGATACGTATGGGCAAAGATGGCTTGCCAGCATTGACAAGAAAAATAGCGGTGAATTTTTTAAGCATTTAAATATTGTGACAACATCAGAGATTCTTGGTAGCAGCCTAAAGAGAATGCAAGTCATACAGCTGAGGAAGCGAACTCAACTGTGGCACTCTGCACGAATACCGCTTGTTTTACTTGTGCAAAAAAAAAAAAAAAAAAAAAAAAAGGGTTCAAGGATTGTTATTAA